GAAGAGTGTCAGTAAAAACCGTGTCGGGGCCTGCCATTCATGCTTAAGAAGATCCGATTAGACCCCCACGCCCCACCCTCTGACATCATCCCCCACCCCCAGCGTATTTGCCCTCATCCTTTGTGTCTCCATTTCCAGGCTCTCCCGCCACACCCTTCCTCCCATCTAGCACTGATCCTCCCAAATAGTGCTGTGATTGCGTGTCAGAGTTGCTCTCTCCTCATTGGACTGAATGCTTGAGGGCGGTGCAGTGGCCTGGATAGTGGCTTCAGAGGCACCTGACCAGTTGCCCTTGAATTGATTCCCACCACCATGGCCCAATGTGCTGCACAGCAGGGTGGTGCTCCAAAGGAGTCCAGCAGTTCATCATTTCAGCCACCTAGGGACTCTTAACCCCAAAGATAGCAGGTCCCAATCCCCGGAAGACGTGGCTATTAACTTAGGTGGTAGAGTGTTTGCAGATGTGAAGAAGGGTTTCGAGATGAAGAGGGTATCCAGGCTGAGCTGCGTGGGTGCTAAATGCCATCACAGATAGAGAGAGGCTAGGAAGATTCGTCTCACAGAGGAGAAGGCAGAAACTGGGGTGATGCGGCCACAAGCCAGGGAATGCCAGCCACCACCAGAAATCGGAAGCTTGCCTCCTGAGTGAACAACCTTGCTGACACTTGGTGTTTGTCCCAGGGAGGCTGAGAGTCTCCTGGCTTGCCCAGCTGTGAGAAAATGTAGGTCTGTTGTTTTAAGCCACCAAGCTTGTGGTAATTTGCTACAGCAGCCACCAGAAATTAATATAGGCAGGGGCTATCTGTTTTCATCCCAGTGCCTTACACACTCTCCAGAATGAACTCGGGGCCCAAGAAATGATTGCGGAATGGATGCATCCGTGGGCCCTCCTCCCATCTTCTCTCAGCTGTCTTACGATCAGCCAGTTGCCACCAGGCCAGCTCTGACTCCTGCCAGTCCCGCATCTGTCACCCAGGACGAAGCCCCATAGCAGCTGCGGAGGCCGCGCCTCGGAAGCCGGTCATCAGGCCTTTCTGTCCAGTACCCCTGGGTGGATTCAAACCTCTGAACTTGGGGTTAACAGTCTAGCACCGGAACTGTTTTTCCCCCACCACCCCAGGAACTCCAGCTGTCTCGTTACAGGGTTCTCAAAATGAACATTCCCTAACGGAATATTTTTTCAACTTTCTATTACAAAAAACTTGCAGAAAAATTTCCAGAGTAGTAGAATGAATGATTGATAGGTTTCACCTTTCTTTCTTTTTTTTTTTTTTCCCATATTGGATTAAAAACGTGGTCTTCTCTGACCCTACCCCTAACTGTAATAGGCTCCATTTAAAAAAAATCATTTTATTGGGGGCTCATACTATTCTTATCACAATCCATACATCCATCCATTGTGTCAAGCACATTTGTTGCCATCATCATTCTCTAAACGTTTTCTTTCTACTGGAGCCCTTGATATCAGCTCCTAATTGTCCCCCTCCCTCCGTGCTCCCCCCTCCCTCATGAATCCTTGATAATTTATAAATTATTATTCTGTCATATCTTACACTCTCCGATGTCTCCCTTCACCCACTTTTCTGTTGTCCATCCCCCAGGGAGGACGTTATATGTAGATCCTTGTGATCAGTTCCCCCTTTCTACCCCACCTTCCCTCTACCCTCCCGGTATTACCTCTCTCACCACTGGTCCTGAAGGGATCATCCGCCCTGGATTCCCTGTTTCCAGTTCCTATCTGTACCAGTGTACATCCTCTGGTCCAGCCGGGTTTGTAAGGTAGAATTGGGATCATGATAGGGGGGTGGCATTTAAGAACTAGAGGAAAGTTGAATGTTTCATCGGTGCTATACTGCACCCTGACTGGCTCATCTCCTCCCCACGACCCTTCTGTAAGGGCATGTTCAGTTGCCTACAGATGGTCTTTGGGTCTCCACTCTGCACTCCCCCTCATTTACAATGATATGATTTTTTGTTCTTTGATGCCTGATCCCTTCAGCATCTCGTGGTCATACAGGCTAGTGTGCTTCATCCATGTGGACTTTGTTGCTTCTAAGCTAGATGGCTGCTTATTTATCTTCAAGCCTTTAAGCCCCCAGAAGCGATATCGTTTGATAGCCGGGCTCAGCACTCGGCGCTCTATAAACCGTGCGGCTTTGCTAGCCAGCAGGGACTGGTCGGGGCGCCTCCATCGTCCTCTTCCCCCACAGACGCTCATCAGCCCTCTTCAGTCTTTAAAACTCTCCCAACGGACACCTTCTCCTCTTCTGCTGCCACCTCCCCATCCAAGCACCAACAGTCAGTCCTGTCTTGGATGGCGGTGACCACCTTCGCATGGCATCCCACTTGCCCTTTCTTTCACCTTTTCCTTTTTTCAGAGGAGCCCAAGTTCTAACTTTAAAACAATCCAATTCCATCATTTTCCTTGCTGAAGAGTCTCCATGACTTATCAATGGGTGCCCTTGACCTCCCATACCCTGAAGACAAGGTTAGGTCCCCTGCTTCACACCTCACAGCCCCCTGTCTTTGCCTTCTGAGCGCTTTCCACAATCTATGGATCGAGGAGTGCACCTGCACCCTCCTTCCCTTCCACTCCTACCTCTGCTTGGACGATGAGTTTGTGAGGCTGGGGCCTTGGATGTATTCCTCGCGACTGCGTCCTTGGGACCTAGTTAATGCCAAGGCCGAAGTCAACCCAAACCCAGTGCCACTGAGTTGATTCTGACTCACACCAACCCCAGGTAGCATTTCTGACACTGGAAACCTTTACGGGAATGGACAGCCTCCTCTATCTCTTTGGGAGGGGCTAGTGGGTTTGAACCTCCGACCTTGTGACTAGCATCCTAACCCATAGCACTATCAGATCTCCTTCAGTACATAGCAGGTGCCCAGTGAACACTTGTTAGATGATTGGACACACGAAAGCGTTTCCTCCCTTGAGCAGACCTTCATCCGCTGTGAAATGAAAACCTCTGTTGGGAGGTTTTCTAAACGAAAACCCCAAACAGGCCTGGCTGTCAATCACAGGCAGATGTGCACAGACTGTAACATTTACCTGCTTAGAGGGCGTAGGGATGGACAAAGGGAGCCTAAACCTGGGTGTTAGCAAACCGGAGGCGTTGATTCTGCCTCTGGCCCTGCTTATACTCCTCAGACATGTTACCTGGCCTCTTCGACCCTCCCTTTCCTCCCCTAGAATATAGAGGAACCGCGTCTACCGCAAAGCAGGGTTTTGAGGTTTCAATAAGAGCACCCTGCTTTTCTCCCCATCGCCTTTCCACTTGGGTGTTTGGTTAAGCGGGTCCCATTTCTTCGTCCTGATCTTCTCCCCCAAGAAACAGATCTAATCAAATGGTGTTGGAAGTTCAAGCCTGAGTGCCCTGCTGTCTGCCCTGCCTCTGAGTGCTGCTAGAACATCAGGCCTGGGTCAATGGGCTCCTGCTTGCCTTTCCTTAGGCCCAGGGTACACTCTGCAGCCAGGAGGGGACACAGTGTACCTTCTCTTTGCTGACACAATACTGCATGCACGGTCTCCATTTCAGCTGGAGCGTTGCGCCCGTGAACGTGCAGCTGGGGCCAATGTGCTACCGTCACCAAAAACTTGGGAGAGGGTGTGTGTGTGTGTGTGAGAGAGAGAGAGAAAGAGAGAGAGAGAGAGAGAGAGAGAGAGAGAGAGAGACAGAGCTGTCTGCATGCACACTGTCAAGGGCTCAGGGGTATTATGCCAGAACCCGATGAGGACATCGCCACACGACAGTATTCCGACCCAGCAAAGTGAAATCTCAGGAAACGACAGGGCATTCATGTTTTCCACACAATGGCACAGCACCTTGCTGCTTTGCAGATGCGTGATCAGCCCCTGTCTCCAATGGCTTATGATGTTGCTGGCTTCTGACTGTGAGCTGGGCCCCCCCTTGCCTGCTGGGTATCAGGGGGCCTCCCTCACGCTTCCCCACGTCTCAGAGGGGAGGCATGAGAGAAGAGAGTGGTCTTTGATTTCAGTCAGGCATAAAGAAAGCCTGGCTCTGGATGGAGTGGGGGCCTGAGGCACGGCGGCCCCCTGGCTTGCAGTTAGAAAGAGAGAACTCCCATTCCCTCTTTCACAGTAGTTTTCTGCCAAGGAAAAAGTGTCTTTCTCCACTCTGGTCTGTCGTCTTGTTTTGTCACCTGATGTCTCCTTCTGTGTTAACTCTCCCTGACACGCAGACTTCCTTAATGGAAGGTGGTGGGATTCTAGGACCAGAACCCTTCTGGACCTGGGAGGATTTCCTGAAAGGGGCACGAGGAGGCCCTGTGCAGATGAGAAGCAGCCAGAATTGTCAAATAACTAGAATTCAAGTGTTTTTCCTCAGTCCTGTGACGCTTTTAAACTTTTTATATTTTCTCCTTGGCCCGTGAGGACAATCCTAGGGTATATATAGTTTTTCAGCAGCTTTATTTAGGTGTAATAAATTGATGATATTGCATACAGTTGCGGTGAGCCAGCAGACGTGTTTTGACATATGTATACACCTGCGAAACCATCACTCTCTGAAGAGAACGTTTGTCACCTTCAGGAGTAATCCGTTCCTCTTTAGTTCCCATTCCATCCCACACCTAGGCACACACTGGCCTGCTCTCTGTCACACAGCGGAGTTTGTACTTTTTGAGAATTTTATCACCGTTTTGGTTTGGCTCCTTTCATTGCCTGTGATCACTTTAGCCATCGTGTCGTGGGTATCAATAAACCAAAATGCAACCCGCTGTCAGTGAGTCTATGCTCACCCTGAGTGGCCCTAGAAGATAAGCCGGGACTGCTCCCGAGGCTTCCTGACGCTGCCAATCTTTACGGGAGTAGAACGTCTCCACCGTTCTCCCATGTGGTGGCTGGAAGCTTTGAACTGCCGGCCTTGCAGTTAGCAAGCCAATGTGTTACCAACTACGCCCCCAGGGCTCCCAGAGTTCATTCTCTTTCTTCCTCTTTTTCGCCCCTCCTCCCAGCCTGTTCTGTTTTGGAACGAATGTGCCACCGTGTGTGCTCGCCCGTTCATGCCTTCCCATTCACCTGGGGGCTGGCAGTTGGCAGTTGGCACTACGACGGAGTGGCCAAGCTCAGCGAGATTGCTACAGGGCCCCTGGTGTCGACAGAGCTGGGGCGTGTCCTTATAGAGACCTCGAGCACACACAAGACGCTCAATGACAGCCTGGAAGAAAACTTCAAAAAATTCCACCAGGAGATCATACGAGCTGGAGAAGAAGACGGAATTGGATGTAAAGTACATGAGCGCAACATGGAAGCAATACCAAACAGAGCACAGGAGCAAGCCGGACTCCTTGGAGACATCGCAGGCTGAGCTGCAGAAGATCCGGAGGAAGAGCCAAGTGCACGGAACACACTCAAGTACGAGCACAAGCAGACGGAGTACGTGGAAACCGTCATTTCTCGTCAGATGGAAATCCAGAAGTTCATCGCTGACGGCTGCAAGGGTGCCCTGCTTGAAGAGAAGAGACGCTTCTGCTTCCTGATTGACAAGCACTGCGGGTTTGCAGGCCACATGCATCACCTCCAGTCTGCAGAGTTGCTCAGTGCCAAGCTGCCCTGGTGGCAGGAGACATGTGGTGATGCCACCACGGTGCCAGACAAGATCATGAACATGCGAGAAGAGATCAAGACGCCGCGCTCCACCCGTGTCCGGGATGCCTCGGCCCTCGCCAATGGTCCAGAGAAGCAACGTGGTTGGGAAAGATGATGACACCCTTTCTAAATAGTCACCAAAGATGACCCCAGCCAATTCCACTAAAGCCTACAGCGGTCCCCTGATCGATATGTTTAATAACCCAGCAACCGTGGCCCAGAATTCAGAAAGGACAAACAGTTCAACGGAGCCGCCTGAGGACCCGAGTCTCCAGTGCTCGGTGTCCGTGGCCACGGGCCTGAACCTGATAAAGAAGCAGAAGGTGAGGGCCATTGTCGCCCATGCCGACGGCGGGAACAAGACCCTGCTCAGCTTTGCCAAGGGGGCCGGCATCACGCTGCTCATCCCCGAGGAGAAGGACGGCTGGCTCTGTGGGGAGCTGGATGCCACCAAGGTGAGAGGCTGGTTCCCGTCGTCGTACACACAGGTGCTGGAGGGGAACGCAGAGGAAGCAGCCGCCCCGCCTGTGCCAAGCCCTGTGCCCGTGCGGAGCGTCAGCACCGTGAACCTGGCTGAGCAGAGCCAGGTCTTCTTCCCTCCGCCAGATTACCAAGACTGTCTCTCCACGGGGGCGGCTGCAGACAAGAGAGGAGAGGCTCCCACACAGACCTCGACCTTCAGAGTGACAGCGCCCAAGCCAGGAGCCGTGTCTCCTAATGATGCCAACGGGATGGCAAAGCCCCCGTTCCTAAGCGGAGAGAACCCCTTTGCTACCGTGAAGCTGTGCCCGATGGTGACCAACGACCGGTCTGCTCCCATCATCCGGTGAAAGGTGGCCGCTGGGCTCCCCCCATAAACTCTACCACCCGCTGACTGATGCACCTCACACATGCACTGACGCCAAGATGCTGGGACTGGTGTGGTGCCCAGTCGAGGCCCAGTCCTCACCGGCAGGTGGACACGTCTTCTCAACTTCACCTAGCAGGTCTACACATCTGTCTCCAAGAGGATGAAATGAATAGCAGCTTTAATTATTTGCACCTAGGTCCGTTCCCCCCTTAATCTTAAATATATTTACATATGTACATGTCTGTATTTAGGCTTGTATGTATGCCCTTTGCCTCCAGTTGTCGGCTATTACACCTCCGTTGACTGTGAACATCCGCGCGCACACGTCTGTGTGTGAACATATGTTGACGCGGACTCCTTGATTTCTGGTGAAATGTCTTCTACTTAGTTGCCCCCATCCCTTGTAAAGCCCAAGGTAGTCTGGCTATGCAGTCGGACGACGTGGTGAGAGCGTAGGAATAAAGGGGCAGAGGAGGACAGGGTGGCCTGCCTGTGTTGACTGCCCTCTCTCAGGGCTTTGCCGACCTGGCAGAGGCTCTCAAGAAGGACAAGGTCCAGAGCTAATTCTACGGGGTGACCGGCGCACAGAGAATGCGAGTAGCCCAGAGAAGCAGCTGCACCAAGGAATGGACTCAGGCTAAGCCCCTTCTGTTCCAGATGGGCTCGTTAGGGTGGGAGTGGGGTGGGGGCAGGGTAGCACTGGAGAGCTATGGGAAAGAGGACAGGCCCCGAGAGGCACCCAAAGCATCTAGAGCCCCTTCTCCTGTATTCAAATACAGGTGGAGTAGTGGGTAACACCTCTGGCTGCTAATCACAAGGTCAGCAGTTCAAAACCACCAGCTGCTCTGCAGGAGGAAGATGAGGTCTGCTTCTCCCCTAAAGAGTTCCAGACTCAGAAACTCACAGGAGCAGGTGTACCCTGTCCAGGGGGTCACTATGAGTCAGAATGGACTCAATGGCCGTGAGCTTGATTTGAAGTCTTGACTGCTCTGCCTGCAGGGTTCAGGTTATGCCCTTAATAATTTGGGGCCATAGATAATTAACCTTGGAGTCTAGGAGACATGACTCGGTTATTCTGTTGACATTATCAGGCTACCCATGTCTTGCCCTATATATCAGCCTTCTGTTAGAGAGGCCCAAGACATCTCTTTAAGGCATGACCCCTCCTGGGGAGGGGGCTTTCCTTGTACAGCTATCTCAGTGTGTCTTCCAGATGGAGATCAACCAGGAAGAACCGCCTGGTGATCCACTTCTGAAACCGCTGGATCACAACCCTTCAATCTGGAACGGACTAGAAGGACTGAGTGGGCCTGGGCAGCATGGTGTTCCCCTGGGCATGCGGCGTCCACAAACCAGAGGCCTGCTGGGCGGCAGCTAACCAATATAAGATTGTTCAGGTGCCTGTGGGTCGTCCCTGTCCCTATTTCAGAATCCCCAAGCCCCTGCCGTGCAGTGGCACTCAGGCTGAGGTGCCTTGGCTGACACTCCACAGCACCGGGTCTTTGGATCCGGCGGTGAGACTGACTAAGCATCCTCACTGTCATCCGGCTGCTTCGAACTGTCTACAGCAGTGGCTCTCTCTTCCTAATGCTACAACCCTTTCATATACTTCCTCATGTGGTGGGGACCCCCCAACCATAGAATTACGTTCGTTGGTACTTCACCACTGTCATTTTGCCACTGTGATGAATCAAGTGGCCCTGTGAAAGGGTTATTCGACCCCCAAAGGGGTCTCAGCCCACAGGTTGAGAACCGCTGCTGTACAGTATAGACTCTACATGAAGCTCAGCCTTTATACGGCCTTTCACAACCAACTGCTGGAATAGGAAGGGTCCTGCTAGGTCCTGCTATCCCACGGTGACATTTTGAAGATGCGAAAACTGCAGCTCAGAGAGGCAAGAGGCTCCGCTGAGGGTCACTGAACACCTTAGAAGTTGGGCTGGACCAGGACCCAGCGCTCCCGGCTCCCAGTGACCCTTCCCCCACACCCCACCCCTGTCCCAGCTTTCATTTAGGTTGTCTGTGCTTAATATGTTTTCCTTGAATTGATTTTCCTCCCCTGCCTCATCCATTACTTTCAAGGTTATTTTTGGTGCTCCTTTCTGTCTTGTTCATTTCGCAGACTGATGCCCCAGGCTCGGCTGAGGGTGGTGCCGCTACCTGCAGCAGGGTCCCCTCCTTCGCTCACGCAGACCCCATCTTACTGGCCAGAGCCAGCACCCTTTGCCCGCCCCCCCCCCATCCTCTTCCCTCCTTCCAGCCCCCAAGAGGCTGCCATTTCCCATCCCATCCCCCCTTGCCCCGCCCACCCACCCCGCCCCTCACGGTCCATTCCCAGCTCAGAAAATCAGCTCATCATGACAGCCCTCCGTGCTCATCCTTCAGCGATGACTCAAGGATGCACCAGCCCCTCGGTAGTGATGCACGATCCATCTTTCCTCCGGCATCGCTTCTCTGCCGGGCTTTCATCATGGGGAGATGTGTCTGTCCTGCATGGCCCCCGCCCTCTTCACTCAGCGGTGGCTGGGGCATCTCAGCGATGGGGTGGGAAGGGAGTGATGGCTGCTGACGATGGGATGGTGAGAGGGCTGTCCTTGGAGGTGGACAGAGAGCTGACTGAACGTCTGTCAGGACACCTGTGGTTAGCTTATGTAAAGTTCAGTACGTGGAAGACAGAAGAGGGCTGTTTTTGAGGAGGGTCTGGCAGGACTTGCAAAGTGCAACTCTCGCTGGCTCGGCTGTGAGCTATCGGCCAGCCCCAGCTCTCGCATCTGTGAAGTGGAGAGAGGATGGGAAACCATTGTCCGTGCTTCAAGGAGAACTGAACTTGACCCAAGGTCTATGCTGCTTCTCCCAGAGCTGGCCACTTGGTGATGGAAGTAGAAGAGCCCATGGTCTGGTGTCCTTGCTTTGAATTCTGGGGCCCACGAGGAGTAGCTGCCATCCTGAGCAAGAAGGGTCAGTTTCACTAGCTCTTGGGCTGGGTGCGAAGTTAAATTGCCCAGAAGAATATGAAATGCTTAACCTGTAGTGTGGCATGAAGCACCTGCTCCATACATGCGAACAGCATTCCAGGCTTCCATAAATGGCTTTATTTCCCCCTTGAAACTTGGTCTTTCATTTGTTCGTTCTTTTTCTTTTTTTTTAAAAGAGGTACGTGAACTTTAGGAAGTTCATGAGTTAAGCACTCGTTGAAGGTTTTTATACACAGGGGGTCTATTGACCGACTGTATACTTTGCAGCGAGAAATGCCGAACTCTGTGGGGCCCAGAAACGAATTGTTTCACCAAGGATTGAAAAAACAATGTGTTACCAGGGCCAAAATAATCAATTGCCAATTGGACAGCTTGCCCCCCTAACTCAGCCCTAAATCCATTCATGGACAGCTGACTAGGGGCTTGGCCTAAAGCTGAATTAAGCAACACCAGGCCCCGCCCCTCGTGAGTTTACAGCCATACAGGCTACTCGCACTACTAGGTACACGGTGATGGTGATGACGATGCGGCTGGCATGCTCCTCCCTTCTAGTTTTCTCACTCGGGGGCTGTGCCCATCTCACGATCGTATTTTACTCGGTCTCCCTGCGTTGCCCTTTGAAATGTCCTGGTCCGCTATTTGGCGGCACCGTTTCTTCTACTTCCTTTCGCGACTTGACAGTGAAGAGCAGGGGCCACAGTCTCTGCCGCTGTCCGTTCTGATTTCTTTCTTTCTTCTCTTTTGAGTGACCTCTAGCTTTCTTCATGAACGACGGTCTTGAAATCCTCCCCCAGCTCATCAGCTCTTCTCGCGTTGGCGTTGAAGGCATCACACCTGTTCCCCCAAATCCAGGTGAGATAGAATCAAGCTTGGCTCTGGGCTCCCGTGGACTCGTTTTCATGCTCTTTAACTTCAACACGAACTTAGCAGTTGATGATCTGTTGCACAGCCGGCTCCTGGTTGTAGCTGTTGATATTGAGCTTCTCCGTTGTCTCTTCCTATATAGTCCAAACACGTGGACTTCTCCAGATGGATTACACGGAAATCAAAAGGACTGACAACATCTTGAAGCTCTTGCTGAAAAAGAACGAGAATTGTAGCCTTCGGTATGGATTACCACTCAATGTAAAGAAGGATCGAAAGCCTCACCACTGGACCAATAGGTGACATCATGATAAATGGAGAAAAGACTGCAGCTGTTGATGATTTCATCTTGCTTGAATCCACAGTCAGTGCCCACGCGAGCAGCAGTCAAGAGGCCAAAAGATGCCTTGCATTCAGTAAATCTGCTGCATAAGACCTCTCTGAAGGGTTGCAAAGGAAACGTGTTATTTTTCAATACTAAGGCATGCCTGAACCCAGCCCTGGTGTTTTCAATGGTCTCAGATGCATGTGAGAGTTGGAATGAGATCAGGAAAGTTGACGCCTATGAACGGCAGTGTTGGTGAGTGATATTAAAAGTCAAATGGACTGACAAATGAACAAGCAGCTCTATCTTGGAAGAAGTACGGCCAGAGTGCTCATGAACGGCAACCGTGGTGAGACTTTGTCTCTCCTGCTTTGGACATGTGATCAGGAGAGACCGGTGACTGGAGGAGGACATCATCTTTGGTAAAGGAGAAGGACGGTGAAGAAAAACAGAAGCCCTCGACGAGATGGGTTGAAGCAGTGGCTGCCACAGTGGGCTCAAGCTTAGGCACAAGCGAGAGTCTGTGTGGCGCAGAAGCGAGTCTATGTCCCTCTGTCACTACGAGCAGGCACCACACCCACGGCCCCTCAAGGCGACAAGATGTAGGGGGAGCTTACTGCAAGACAGCTACTGGTGGAACGTTTTGCAAAAACCTCATTTTGTTCTCACACAAGCGCTTTCAGTGAAGTCATATTTTCATCTTATAGGTGGGGAAACACAGGTCCAGAAAGTTAAGTAATTTGCCACTGCTATAGCCGACAGTTATAGTTCCCACTCAAGCCTAACAGTTGATTAAAAGCCTTGCATCCAAGGAAT